TTTCTTCTACTTTAAGAATTAATAATATAATTAAACTCAAAATTGAGAAGACTCTTATACATTTTGAACTCTTTTGGAAAAATTTTGTTTCCCTAATTTTTGATAAAGTTAATTTTAATATTTAAAATTATTTAACATTTTGAATTCTAAAAGGTTTTCTCTAATAGCAAATTAAAAAACATAATATTCAAAAAAATATTTTAAGATTCAGTCTCGGGTTGCATTTCGCTCGAGCGACTATATCTCGCTCGAGCGAAATATGATCCTGATCGATCATAAGTTGAAATGATCGATCATAATTTGAGGATATAATAGTGGTTCCTCTGTAACTGCTATCTAAAGTGTATATTAGATAGCGGTTCCAGTGGAACCGCTATCATATACAACCATATTTTAACTTTCTTGAGTCTCGGGTTGTGTTTCGCTTGAGCGACTATATCTCGCTCGAGCGAAATATGATTCTGATCGATTAGATTTTGAAATGATTGATCATAATTGGAGGATATAATAGCGGTTCCTCTGTAACCGCTATCTAAAGTGTATATTAGATAGTGGTTCCAGTGGAACCGCTATCATATACAACCATATTTTATCTTTCTTGAGTCTCGGGTTGTGTTTCGCTTGAGCGACTATATCTCGCTCGAGCGAAATATGATCCTGATCGATCATAAGTTGAAATGATCGATCATAATCGGAGGATATAATAGCGGTTCTTCTGTAACCGCTATCTAAAGTGATATATAATAGCGGTTAAGATTTAACCGCTATCATATATTGCATAAAACTCCATGGCCACCGTGGAGAAGAACACAACACTGAAGATGGAGAAAGAGAGAGAATGAAACTCCGATAACAGTCCAGAGGGGAAAACATAGACGCTGATTTCTTTCTTTTTGGGGATGCACTGTGTGTTCACGTGCAGGAGATGGAGAAGGGTAAATAAGTCATTTATCAGTTGATGATGTGGCTTTCTTTGCTATCCTCTCAAATCCTCTCAAATCTTCAGGGTGAGCTTTCCTCCCCTCTCCCTCAAATCCGCGCCTGCAAATCCTCTCATATCAGTTACACCAAACGAATTGAATCTCTCATTTCTGTCTTCGTGAACAGTAAATCAGTTCAAATAAACACAGGCTAAGAGAGAAGGTGAAAGAAAAATATAATATATTATTTCATTAATGCTTACATTATTATAATAAATAATTAAAAAAATCAATACATTTTTTATTAATAACAAATAATTTTTATTTTATTTTTTCATTGAATTAAATAATTTCAATTTAAAATATTTCTCTTAATTTTTACTTTAATATAAAAAAATAATGTCAGGGGACATTTGGAATTTGGTGCCTAATTAGAAAATTCCACACAATAACATACAAAAGTCAATCTTCAACTTAACCAAGGACGTGATGTTACATGTTACACTTATCTTTTAAATAATAATAATAATAATAATAATAATAATAATAATAATAATAATAATAATAATAATAATAAAAAGTAGTCTTATTCAAACTAATAATATTTACAACAAACCATTATTTTAATAGTTATTTCATATACTTCATTAAAAAGTCATGATTCTCAAGGTGATTTTTTGTTTTAAAATACAATAAAAATGAACACATTAGATTCTTAGAAACCCCTTTCTATAATAAATTACAGACATCACCCCATTCAGCATTAATTAAAGAACAAACTTAAAAAATGGAACGAAAGAAAATTTCGTTAAAACGTGAGAGACAAGTAAAAGCTTCATCTTTTTGTAGTATGTGTTTTCTTTTTTATTTGGTAAACAAAAATGAGATGGTCCAAAGTCCAAAGTAACAAGTTTTTCTTATACCTTAATATTTTTTTTACTCCTATAATATATATATATCCTTAAAATAAGTTTTCATCTTTCATTGTACCTTTATGTTAATACTTTTGTTACCCTTCTTGTAATATATTTTGAATCGCATAATAATTTTGTCATCCAAAAATCTTATAAAACAACGTATTTAATTTGTATTTGTATTTATGGTGTTTTTATTATTGAATTCAAATTCATAAGAAAATAAAATTAATTAACCTTTATAATAAAAAAATTGAAAGCGTTTTTGAAATTTTTTTAGAAATATCAATTAAAAAAAATTAATATAAAATTTCCAAAACTTATTTATATTAAAAATAATATTATTATTTTGAATGAATATAAGGCAGCTCAATAAAGTTTGGAGTACGAGTAAGAAACAACCTAAACTCACATCTTATTATGCCCAATGAGTTGTATAGAGTAAATTTCATTACTCCAAATTAACTGTTCTTATTAAATAAATTGAGGGTACAGATTTTATTTGATATCAATGTGATTTGATATATAATATCTCTTTCATTCGTCTTTTTAAACTAAACTTGATATAGCCCAATAAGGCTATATCAATGGGTTGGGTCCATAAAATCAACATTTCTTATTGGGCTTTGATTCCACAAGTCCAAACGAATGTTATGTCACCTTTTTTATTTTGTTTTGCATGCATTGCATGTGCATATGTATATTTGAAGGAGAAAGAAATCAAGGACTCTTTCTTCTACTTTCAAGGGTCTAGGCTCTGGCATCTTAAATCAAACTCAAATATTCTATAATCATTTGAATCATTCCAGTAGATTGATTGATATATCAGGTAAATCACTAGCTGTAAGTGAAACAGGTAATTTGACGTTGGTAATATACTACTTGAATGAGTAAGATTACATGATTATTCTAATTCATGGTCAACGTAGAGAAAGGTAAATCAAAAAGAAAAGGGTGAAAAACATATATAATTAATTTAATTTCAAATTAAAGGGAAAAAATAATCATATATTTTAATTTACGACTTTCTTTTCTCTCCACGACCTTTGACAATTGAAACAAAAGCAATGTGAACCCAATCAAAAAGTTCAGATCCTTCATCTTCATCACACAAGTAGGTATTCAAATATGTTCAAGACAACTGTTTTTACCTCACAAAAACAGCTACCAACTCTCTTTTGTCAAACACACTCACAGATTTTCACTAATATTTTGGATGAAATAATACATAATTAATAAATACTGAAAATATAAAATATTTATTCATTATATTTAATAATTTGTTTTAATATTTATGAAAAAAATTATAAATATATAAATAGATATATTTAATAATTATAAAATTTAAAAAATAAAAATTATAAATATATATAAATTACAAAAACTTGGAAGATAAGGACACGGTATTGTAATAAAGGCTCCTTTGTCTTAATCAATGTAGAAGGGTGACGGTGTGGAAGATTCGTTACACCCCATCAAACTTCAAATAGTCTAAAATAAGTAGATTTTATAGCACGACTTTCACTTTCTAATACACAATTTAATAATAACCTAAGACAGAGATGATCAAAATCAATGTTATATTCTAAACTAAACCTTATAATGTTCGAAAGGACACAAGGTTCTTCCATTTGGAAGAGGAACCGGGGTGGACCATGCGCATGGAAGTCCACTATTTCCAAACGGTAATATAAAAGGGTACAAAAGTACCAAATAAGACCAAGTCACACCTTAATCATTCAAATTTATTCATTCCCATCTTATTTCTTGTTGAAGAGTGCTTCTTCTTTCTTTTTTTTTCATCTCAACTACTTTTATGAAGAGTGCCTCAAAATCAACTTAAAAGCCTTTGTTTTTTTGGGGCAACTAAAGGTTACATAAAAGCATTTGTTTTGTATAGGTTAATGTCTCTCTTTATTCCATGAGCAATAGCATAATTTCAACGAATTATACAGTTAATTGTAGTATTTGCGCTATATTTCTATTTTTGAATCTAGTTCGGACAAAGAAATGTCTGGAAGAGAAAAACACAATAATATAATTCATTTAGGTTTTGGTTTAAATATGGTTCAGATGCATTGTTTACTTAGTAATAATGTTTCATTAATATAAGAGTGTCCCAATTTTATACCAATTTTAGAATGTTTGAATTTTATTTTAAAAATATATCTCGAAAGTTTAAGGAAGAAAAAGGGGTATGTAAATTACTTTTTTACTCTAAATAATGTTACACTTTTAAACATATCGAAACAAATAATAATAATAATAGTATTTTAATTATAATACTTAACTGTTTGATGGAATCGTAATTAAGTTTTTTCTTTTAGTTTGCCAGGGATGCATGTTATTCATATGTAATATCCACTGAGAAATTCATATGATATTACTATAAAACTTGTTTCTTGTTAATTAATTAGTTTTTCAGTAGATGAAAACCTTCATTTTGAAAAAGGGGAGTATCATTCTCACATCTATTTTATTGTTCCATTTTTCCTTAACAAAAACTAATTAAAGATTAATCCCTATAGTATCAATATTATGAAGACATAAATCTAATTTTGTTTGACATTTGATAGAGTATGATATGATGTATATATTGACATGGTTAAATTGATACAAGTATTGGTATACTACGGATTTCCCAGCCAACCCATAAGTCAAAAAAGTTATTCTTATATTAATAAAACGCTGTATTTTGGAATCTTTTGATTAAAGCAGTCGAAGTTTCGCATTTTGCTGAGTTCTGTCGAGTTGTATCAATTGCATGATAACATCACGCATCAAATCGTGGGTTATATCATATGATATATTATGGACCCTAAAAAAAGTTTACTACTAACTACTTTGCCAACTTTGGCAACACTTTGACAAATCATGGCAAGCCGGCAGCACAAGTCATTGGATCAAAGAAAAACGAAGCATGTTCCCATCGTTTTTGTGAATAGATTAATCAAAATGCAAGCCAAGTAAACACTCCAGGCATTGACAACTTTGCTATATCTGCGTGTTAGGTTAGGTAACGCCAAAGAGACAAAGCACCTTGAGATTTAATCTACATTCACAAACTAACCTTGCCAGTGGTTATATAAATATATGTCACATATATGCACTCACAAAAAACATACTCATAGAGCTAAATATTACTTACTCTTCTAGGGTTTCAGAAATGGCTTCTTCTTCTTGTTCAACCTTTGTGTTCGGTTTGGCCCTTTTGGTCATTGTGTTTAGCAGTGCCAATGCAACACTTTACACAAACTTCTACTCCAGTTCTTGCCCAAAACTCTTTGACACTGTGAAACGCGAAGTGGAATCAGCCATATCAAAGGAGACCCGCATGGGTGCTTCTCTCCTACGTTTGTTCTTCCACGATTGCTTTGTTAATGTAATTTCTTAACATCTGTTAGTTAGATGATACTCTATATATATGCAATTCTATTTACTGCTAGAACTTAACTTTCTAATTTTTTTCCTACCTGTTTGTTGTCTAAACAATTTTGATTTTACAATTGTGTTGAAGTTAGGTTTGGTATTTATTACGTAAAAACAACTTTTATAGCTAGCTTTTGCAATTACATTTTATACAACTCTTTTACTAAACTACTAAAGTAACACCGCATAATTTTTTGTCTTACTTAAGATAAATGGTTACGATCAACGTAATTTATGTTGAGGCATATTTTTACTTTGTTTGACTTTGTTGATACATATGAAATCTACAAAAATAACCTATGTATTGATACTAAGTAGTTTTGCTTTGTTTTTCAAATATAAATCATGCATAGGATAAATTTATTGATTTCTTTAATTACTATTCTTCAAAAGTCATACCAACAATAATTTCTGATTGGTTGACTATATAAAAATATTTAACTATGGCAATGTATAATTGTTAAACACTATATATCTGGTAAATTGAATAAATAATAAATATTGCAGGGGTGTGATGGGTCAATTCTGCTTGATGATACATCAAGCTTCACCGGAGAGAAGAACGCAGGTCCTAACAGGAACTCAGCTCGTGGTTTTGATGTTATCGACAAAATCAAATCAGCTGTGGAGAAACACTGCCAGGGTGCTGTCTCCTGTGCTGATATCCTTGCCATTGCTGCCAGAGATTCCGTTCACATCGTAAGCAATTACTCTAATCTGCCATATCAATATCATGCTTAATGTACTATCGTTTTCATATGCGGAAGATTAAGTTAAGAGTTATTTTGATGACCTATTTTATTGTATATATGGCATGGGTATTAAATATTCTTAAGCTTTCAGTTTGCATCATAGTTACACACATCACAAACACATGCAAGTACAAGAGAACTGAATATTTTGTTGAATTTGATCTCAGCTTGGTGGCCCAACTTGGGACGTGAAACTTGGAAGAAGAGACTCCAAGGCAGCAAGCCAATCTGCTGCCAACAATGGCATCCCACGACCCACTTCAAACCTCAACCAACTCATCTCCAGATTCAATTCTCTTGGACTTTCCACCAAGGACTTGGTCGCACTATCTGGTACTACAGAAGATTTTACTAATACACTTTCTTTCTCTTAACACATTTTAAACTTTATTTAAAGTTATAAAACGAGACTATTCAATAAGACGTCGATTCAAAATAGCGTTTTAGAAACTTTTTGCGACATTTCTCAAAATTGAACAGTGTAAACCTTAGTTCTTTATGACTCGTTGTTACCTTGGCAACAGTCACGTAATGAATTTCATTTCATGTTAGGGGGTCATACAATTGGACAAGCAAGGTGCACAACCTTTAGAGCTCGCATCTACAATGAAACCAACATTGAAAGCTCCTTTGCCCGCATGAGACAATCTACTTGCCCTCGAAACTCAGGATCAGGGGACAACAACTTGGCACCCATTGACTTTGCCACTCCCACTTTCTTTGACAATCACTACTTCAAGAACCTTATTCAGAAAAAGGGCCTCATCCATTCTGATCAACAACTCTATAATGGTGGTTCCACTGACTCCATTGTGCATACCTACAGCGCCAATCCAGCTTCCTTTTTTGCTGATTTCTCAGCTGCTATGATCAAGATGGGAGACATCAGTCCCCTCACGGGCTCCCAGGGAGAAATAAGAAAGAACTGCAGGAGGGTGAACTAATTAAATTATTGAAGAGACCTACACTACACATTAATATATGGATATACTCATGAACCTTGTCTTTTGGATTTGATGATTTGAGATCAATGCAGGGGTAATAAGTTGTTAAATATGTTCTGCTGTCATTTTTATGTTGTGTGCTACCTAGTGTACCTGCATTGTCCTATTTCGTTAATTTTGCTTCCAAGTGTTGACGTTGAAGTTCAAGGCTTTTGATGTACAAGTTGCTTCGTAACTTTCCTATTACAATTTTAGTTAATCATTATTCCACTTCGATTTTGGGTTTTCCTTTTTCCTTTTTATGTCAATTTTCCTGCCCAATTCATTTTCATATATATATGTTTCTTTAGTCTGTTTTCTTACCAAACTTTTATTCTATCATGCATGCGGAAATAATTCATATGAATTTTCTTAGTAGCTTTTATTATGACTTTTTTCATCTGCAACTATAAATTATAAAATATGATGAACTGAGATGAGGATATCTCAAAACTTTTCTAGGGTCAAATTATTGCAAACTAATCGATGGTGTTTGCTGAGGACAATCTATAGGCTAAATATAATGCATGAGTATATGAGGCACAGACTAGAAGCGCATTAGGTGAGGTAACTGTTGACTCTACTGTTGCAGAGGAAAAGGATTGGCTTGGTCAAAAAAGCATGAACATATCTATAAGAGAGTGAAGAAGAAAACTGCTGGCGTAAAGTTAAGGGCGTCGAATTGAATCTATTGACACATCATCCACCTATACAGAGTTCGAGGGGTGATATTTTGATAATTAGAAATTATACCATTTTTAAATAATTTATTTTTATTAATATAATAATTTATAGAATGATTAAATAAAAAAAATAAAATAAAATTATTATTATAATATTAAAAAAGAGTTGTTTATAAAAATTATATAAATTTAGATTATAAAAGTATCATTTTCCATATCATTTTCCCACCCACCTTTTTAGATTATGTCAATGAGAATCATTGTGTTTCAAACACTGTTGTCTTATTAGTTTTTGTTATGTCATAACATTTTTCCATTGTTATTCATGTTTTGTATTTAGGGCTTCATCTCTTCGTCGATACCTTAGCATAATCTGGTATTGAACTCTTAAGTTCATTTTCACAACAAAGAAATTAAATTTGGTTTTAACGTGCGTATATAATCAATAAGGTAGTGATGGTTTCACCACAAAGGTTTACAAAATTAATATTTTATTTTATTCTATGTATTTCAACAAAAGTCATATATATTTATTAAGAAAATATAAGACTCTTTTTATAAAATTGTTTTAAAAAAATAATATTTACCATTATTATTAATTTATATAACAAAACCTTAAATTACATTAACAAAAGAGTGCCAAATGATAATTAATATTATCGATTAATTCAATCGTTCCAAAGTAACCACGTTAATTATGCATTAGCATCAATTTTGACCACAGACCGAAGAAACGTGGATTTAAAGCATTGGAAAATGCGTGTGGAGAGTATTACAAGTACTAAACATGTTAATAAATGTTAATTCAACTTCAAAAAAAAAAATTAACAAAACCTGTTTTATTTCACATGATAATTTTTTAAAGAGTAGTTGTTAGACTTATGGGTTTAATTTCATTTTAAAAATGATACTTCCTTTATTTCTATACATAAATAAGATAGTATTTCTTAAATAAATATCCTTCTTTAATTAATAATTTTTTTATATAAAAAGTAATGAGTACTAAAAATTAAATAGATAACGCTTCCTCTCCTTTGTTAGGATTAGAGAAGATGCGTAACTACAAACTATATAATCATTATTCTCTCTTCAAGCATTAATTAATTAGGTGAGAAATAATTAAATAGAAAGAGAAATTATTAACTTCAAACTATTAAGGATAAGTTTGAAAGAAAAGTACAAATTATTGAATAGTAAATGTTAATAACTAAATTAAATATTCTTTAAAGAACGTAAACTAGTTAAAAGGTTCCCGTAAATATAAATATATACGTAATTTTTATTTTCATTTTCTTTTGTAACTAGTGAACTTTGACTCTCTTTGTGCAACTTTGGATATTAGGATGAGAAATAAAATTTATCTACTTTATAATTTATCAGGGTTATTTAAAATATAAAATCAGAATTACTTTTAACCGAAAATTGTTAGACTTAAATTTATTTATTTACTGAACGAATGGAGTTTGTTTAGATTGTTCATTTTGGGCCTCAGAATTAAGGCCTTTCTTTTGTGTTTGGATCCAGTTTTTATTTTTACCAAAAACAACAACACAAATAAATTAGAAAAACACTTTTTGCAAATTAAATACAGATGCATTTAACGCGAACATGATTTTTTTTCTTACGAAGACTAATTTTGTTTATGATGTTATAATTGTTAAATTCACTAGATTTTTTGTTGTTCCGCATTATTAGTTTCTATTAACAAAAATCAAAGGCTTGATTGGGAAAATCATGTTTTTTTTTTCACAAAATTATTCGTATAAAGTGGCAGAAATATAACTTTTCTAAATTTTTAAAAAATTGTACAGCAATAAAAAAAAATACTGCGTTACTATTTATTATAAGGAAATATAAATATTTATAAGAATATTTATGGCTTGAAAATAAATTTTAATCAACTTCAAAAATTATAATTTCCGAACACTATAAAAATTATTTCATTAAATAATCTCCATAAATTTGAAACTTGATTTTGAAAACACATGAATTTATGAGTTACTTAGATTAAAGGTTTTGATTTCAGAAAAGTGTACTTTAGAAAAAAAAAAAAAAGACAACTATGACTATTAAATAAAATAATAGTTAAATTTGAATTTGGTGTATTTTTAATCAACAATGCAGTGAGTACATTTTGTTCTCCTCAAAGGATAAGGAGTAAATTGTAAATTTAATTTAATTTTTTTAAATGACATAAATATTGATATTTATGATACTATACCTAAATTTTATGGAAATAAAAATAGTGGAGGAGGACTAAATAATAAATATTTATGATACTATACCTAAATTTTAGATCATACAGAACTTGTACAACGTTTAGAAGTTCAAACCAATATATGAAAGCAGAATTTTCTCAAGATCACACTCATCATGGTGTTTCGTTTTAGCTTTTTTTTTTTTTTCCCTTTTTTTCTGTGTATCAAATATGTACTCATTTCTAATAATCATTTTGATTCCGTTATAATTCCATTTAAGCATTTGAGCGCACATTTAAATTAGCCACTTGAATGTCTAGATTTGCTATGATTCACTAATTAGAAAATTTTGTATATTTATAAATTATATTAAAAGAGGAATCTAAATTTAAAGCATATACAATCTCGACCTAAATCATGAGAAGGGAAATTATTATGTCCGACACATTTTAAACCCACACAATCACCAACAGAACAACTACATTTTCAATGATTTTCTACAAAACAAAGTAGAAAATTGATTTCTAACGATGTTACCTTCACAAACTAGGCTGTTCCGTGGCTCACAATTGCGTTCTTCATGTCCCCAAAGGAAGAGCTGCCTCTGAATCTGTTTGAAGCTTTATGTTTGAGAAAAGTGCGAACAGTACTGGTTGAGCGTGAGAAAGAGAGGCTTCCTTCATCTGTGTCCCTCGTGGAATATGAGTATGAGGGGTATACCAACGACCAGGATGAGGATGAGGATGAGGATGAGGAAGATGAGCGAGATGATGTTGGTGACCCATGATCTTTTCTTGACCTTGTCATAAACCTCGGCCAAATGCATGAAAATATGTTGGCCTTGGAGTTTGTTCTCTTGCTGCTAGACTTGGAATTGGAGTAATACGAAGGAGGGGGTGTAAGGGGAGGTAGAGAAGTCTGAGAAGAAGGGTGTTTTGGGGTGCCAGGTTGTGCCTCCCATGTGAAAGGAACTGCAATTGATGTTTCTCCATAATAGAAGACCCTTGAAGAAGAGTTAGCCTTGGAAGTTTCCTTGGACATTAGCCTTGAGAAGAACCTATCATCCTCCTTTATTCTGAAGGACTTCTCAATTGAGACATGATTAGCACCACCACCACCATCATTCAGCATTTTGGGTTGATGTCTATGATTTTTCTTATCTCAACTATGACATATAAAAGCCTCAAGCAGGGTGTATACTACTCTCTTATATTTGCCATCTAGACCTTAGCATTGTTTTATGGCTTCCCGTACTCAATCATACTCCTTAAGGTTAAAACATATACATATTAATAAAGGGTGCATGTGCTTCTAAATTACTGAAGAATTGGGTTTCTTGATTGGGAATTAATTTAAGCATGGAGTTTACCAAGGAGGGCCCGGGGTGTTCGATCAATTTAATGATATGGATTCTTTTGGAGCTCACCAATTTGGTTGTGGCGAAATTTAATGTCTGATATGGATGGTTGATAATTAAACTGTGAAATTGAATGGGTTATTATAGGTAGTTGCTCAATTATTTATGGGAGAATCTGGACCATTGACTAAAGAGTGGCGAATTAGTTTAGTGGTAGTTCCTCTATAAATCATTGGTGATCGGAAACGGTTGAGAGGAAAGGGAATTTGGTTACGGGGGAACACTGTAATAAATGAAAACGATATCCACGAATGAGAAAGGAGAAATTGGTAGATTTTCTACATACTGTCAATTGCTTTCCAAAACAGAGTTCATATCTACCTAATCGTAATATCTCATATGCTATGTATGCTAGTAATCTAATACTCATTCGTTATTCCACAACAATTTCTCCACAGCCTGGTTTTAAGGGTGTGTCTCCCACAATAAGGTTTGAAATTTGATTGCAAAAAGTGTCTGTGTTTAATAATCAGTTGTATCTCAAACAAAATTACTTTCTTTTCTGGTGTAAGATGCTAACTAAAGGTCATCCTCAAAAAGATGTTTTTGGTAAAACAATATGAAAGTAAAGTTATTACCTTGAATGAATCTTGAATTTGTATGGTGCTTCTACCATGAGTTAGGTAGTTGAGAGGCCTGCATTTTGCACCATGCCCTTCTCCTACCAAACTTTGTTTTGTACCAAAGTTTGGATATTGATGCTCAACAATTCACCCTCATTAAATAGCAGCAAGAAATTCATGAATACGTTGACCTACTCGGGCATCTTGGATAGAGACTCATCGCACAGTACATAACAGTGTGAAGGGTATTACTATTATTTATTAGCCATGAAATGTCACATATGGGATGAGCTGTGTAATCAGAAAAGTCCTCTGCTTCTTCATTGGAGAATTCCACCTACACATTCATTCCGTTAATTGGATCTTCCCTACACGTTTTGCTCAGGACAGATTCCATGATTTCAACTCACCAAACCACCTTGTTTTAAACGGACTCTATTTCAAGATGATGTTTTTCTACACCAAATGAATATTTGTTCATTATCTACCACCTCACTGTAGCTGGTTATTCGTGATGTGTAAGAGAATTATTGAAATTTTCCCATTACTATAAACAGAAATTACCATTATCAGTTTAGGAGAATTAACAGCATGCAGGACCATGCACTGGTCCAGTGCTGGAAAAAGATTTTGATGCAGGAATTTCCTCTTCTACCGTGGGTCAGATACATTGAATAGAGAAATAATATTTACATACTAAACGACAAGAAGCATTCATTATGTATGTAATAGGATTTAACGAGTTGTTCACTAAATCTGAAAGTTTGATTGATAGTATCCACTCAAGGGCATGCTGTCATGTTGAGATGCGGAATATTTTACTCTAAATCAAGTGTTATTTTTTCCATATATTGCAGTGTTAATATCAGAATTCACTTGTTTTGCTACTGTCATTTCTCTGTTGTGGGGGCAGAAACAGACAAATTAATTGTGATAAAAAAAAAAAAAGTTGCTTTGATTTGCACATTTATCAGGAAGAATGGTCTGTGAATTAGACATCTCAACGGATCATGCTGGGATTAGGCAGCTTCGTGTGGAAGGCTAGGCCATTAAAGCCACTGCCATAGCCCCACCACGCTTTCTTAAATTTTTTTACTTTGTAGACAATACATATAATAAAATTATGGTAATGGACATAACACTTTGATAACTGATTAAATAATGTTTAAAGAGTAAATTATATTAAAATTTTCAAATTTAGTTTAATCCAATCAATGACTCAACGAGCTTGATTAAGTTGAGTTCATAAAATAATAAATTAAACAAGTTAGATTGAGTTTAAATACCTTCTAAAAATAGTGTGGTATTTGATTTTGATTGAGACAGCATAAGCCTGAAAGAAATGGCCGTATCGTGCGCAGGCTATGCAATGAGCAAAGCTTGTAAACATTGCAGACCCACCCAGCCGTCCCAACCTCGTCCTCCATGCATCAAAATTTTCAAATTCTAGATTGAATGTTTTAGTCTTTGAACTTAACATTTAGTTATTTTGATTCTGAAAGGGTTCCAAATTTTTAATCAACTTCTATTACTTGTAAATTATTAACTTTAACTAATCAAATTTAATAATAAAATCGAGTTCATACATATTTTTATTTTCATTCTAGGGATGAAGTTATCCGCGCTTTACCGGAATTGAAAACTTAGACTCCTTTTTCTTTTTTATTGAACGCTAATCACGCTCCAAATCAAGGCAGAGCTCACCGACACGACAATCTCACCCTCACCAAAAACCCGTGACGTGGCATCTTCTCATTGGCCACACTTCACCACATTTAACAACAACCCTTGACTTTTCCCTCCATCAACCAACCACACCAAAGCCCACACCGTTACTCCACGTCACCATCCGCACACTATCTCCCACCGCGAAAAGCACCCCTACAAGCGCTTTCCGCTGCCGCTCCCTTTATCACTTTCCGCTTTCCCCGTTTCGCTCCTTGTAGTGTGGACCCGCCAGCCCTTTTCGACCCGGTTCGCAACTCGGCCCCGCGACACCATCATCACGCATCCTTCCTCCTTCATCCTCGGTATTGCAATAAATCACACAAATGGGTAGCCAAAAAAGGTCAAAATTAGAATCTTTGTGTGACTCCAGTTCTCGATGCTTCTCTGAAACCCGCGTTTGCTTTGCACTTTGCGTCAAGGACCGAGACTCCGAAAATCGCCGCAGTCGGTTTCCAGACGACACCGATGGTGAAACCGGAGCCTGGTGTTGGACCCAGAAATCCGGGAATTAGAAGATTTGGGTTGAGAGCTGAAATTGATACTTCTCCGCCGTTCGGGTCTGTCAAGGAAGCGGTGACACATTTTGAACGAGCCGGACCTAGGAGCTTTCACAAATTTGGAGAGGCTCGTACAATTTTTGTCGTTTCTATTTTAATGTTGAGTTATGAATGTGTTTCGTCATGTGTTTCTATTTTTTGTTTGTGCATGTTGAAAATGTTGCTGATGCTGGCCTAGGTTTTGTTTTACAGTGTTATTTTTTATTTACCATTACTAAAAAATTAGTATGCATTATGTTCTAGCATGGAATAGTTATTGATCTATAGAATTATGCCCTTGTGGTGATATACTCGCTGATGTTGAAGATTGTTGTTAACAGAACAGTGCAGAAGATTTTGACATAAAAAGAGTGGAAGAAGAAGCAGCAAAGTTGGAAAAGGATTTGATAGTGAAAGAACTTGAAACACTTGATGTGCTTGAAGAACTGGGAGCTACCAAAGCAATTTTGGAGGACTTAAAGTTGCAGCTACAATCAGAAGCATTGAATTGTTTTGCAACTCGAGGTGAAAATTCATGTGAACAGGTTGGAGCTGCTGTTAGAAATTGTGTGAATGGTATCAACAATGAAGAACAGACATTGCAAAGTTCGAGTCCATGTGCAACTTCATCACCTGATCTGTTCTTAGTGGAGTTAAGACAAGCTAAAATGAGCCTTGGTAAAACCATAAATGATCTTGGAGTGATACAATCTTCTGTTGAAACTTTGAATAAGAAGATGAAGAAGGAAAGGCTTTTTGTTGAGAGGACACGGGAGAAGCTAGCATCGAAGTTTGCAGCTGTCTCTACTGAAGAAGTTACCAAAACAGAAGCAAGGTTTAATCCACCTGAAGCTACTGTAGGAACAGGGAGGAGTTTTGAATTTGATACTGGACAGTGCAATGGAATGAGTGAAACAAGAAGCTCTGAAGTTTTAAGGCCCTTCTCTGAGTTTGGAGATAATGGATTTAGTATTAAGACTGCTGAAATGAGGTGGTTTGCGGCTAAAAAGATGGAAGAAGCTGCAATGGCAGCAGAAGCCGTTGCTCTTGCTGAAATTGAGGCCCTGTGTTGCCCTGAGATATCATCTGAATTTGCTCTTCCAGAACATCAGAAAATGGTCTTTGCCTTACGGGAGAACTCTCCTCTAAATCCTGTTGGTCAAATTCCTCAGGAGTCAACCTTGAAGACGATAATAGATTCCAAGTTCCAAATGGACAAAGTAGCTATTTCTAAACTGGGTATTTTGAAGAAGTTTGAGGAAGCAACAGAAGAAGTTCTACGCAGCAAACAAGTCTTGGCTGAGGCATTAAACAGTGTTGAAAGTGCAAACAGAAAACAGCTTGCTGCTGAAGAGGCTCTTCGTAGATGGATTCCCGAAGATGATCTAAAAGGAAAGCCATTGATTGAGAGCAGCATGTTTAATCAAGCTGGAAATTGTCAAGATTCTCCTCTACCAGATGTAATCAGATCGATTACAACTAGCAATGACCCGAAGCAGACCTTAAGGTCTACGGTTTCAATGAGAGAGGTACTTAGTAGAAAGCAAGTTCCTGAAGATTACACTACGACAAAGGATATGGAAGAGCACTCTGAAAGGAAGGTAGCATTGAGTCAAATGCTTCGAGCATTGAGGAAGGATCAAACTCTACCTACAATACCTGAGAAAGATGGGAGCATTAATCAAAAGCAAAAGCATGTCACAGCACCTAGGAAAAAGTTTAGTTTCATCCAAATATCATTCCCCTTGGGAAAGCGAAGTAAGAAGACATGAAATTAATAGGCCTATGTTATGTCTGCCTTTTTGTAAGCCATATAGAAATTGTGACTCCTTTGTAACTTGTAAAGTCCTCACTTAGTGGGATAAGACTATATTTGTTGTTGTAGTTTGATTTTGCACCCTATGTTTTTACTTTGTGATTGCGTTACTTGTATGCAACTAGCTTAGTTTTAACTGAGCGAGAGTAGATTTTACTTGTGTAGAGAGTTTACATAAATTCGTGATTTCTAAGAGTGTATTTCATATGAAAAATATTAATTTAATAATAATATAATAATATTAATTTTTTATTATTAAAATAATAAACAAATAATAATTGAATTTGTACACAATATAATTAAAATTAAAAAGAAAAAATCTTAAATGTTTAAAATCTTTTTTTCTATTTGTAACCTTAAAATCTTAAATTCTTTAATTTAATTTGTTCTATCTATTCAAAAATCTTAACATCTCAAATCCTCAATACCTCTTATTAATATGAATTGATGTATCTATGAGATAGTACAAAATTTATTCGTTCAATGTAATCACAATGCACTTTACAGCTGGAAACAATCTTCTTAATCCTATCCTTTCTCTCTCTAATCGAGATCACCCTGAAACTCTATTTTTTATTCCCTCTTCAGTCTTCCCTGATAGACTTATATACTAAGTCTGTTCTGCCTAAAAAAATTACAATGCCAGCTGTTTTATTTTTTTAACCCGTTTTTTTCTCTCATTTTATATATTAACTTATATCTATCATTACTCCCCCCTGAAGGTTCACCTTGTCCTCAAGGTGAAATGCAGGAAATTCCTTGGATATAACTTTAGCTAATTTCGAACTACTCTCCGTAGGTGGAAGATCTTTCCATTGGATGAGGGCTTCCATCTTTCCTTGACTGTTGGTTCGTGTGTCTAGTAATTGAGCTGGTGACATAATTAATTCATGATCTTCTGTTAATGAAGCTGGTAATGGTTGAGGATCCGTCAATGGCTGCATGGTTTTCTTTAACAGTGAAACATGAAATATTGGATGTATTTTGTTATGTGGAGGTAACTCCAATTTGTAGGCAACCTGTCCAACTCTATCAATCACCTAGTAAGGGCCATAAAATTGCGGAGCTAACTTCTCATTTGGGCGCTTAGCTAAGGATTTAAGCCTATAAGGTTGTAGCTTCAAATATACTCAATCTCCCACTTGATACTCAACATCCCTACGATGTTTATTGGCCTGAACTTTGTTTTGATTCTAGGCCTTAGCTAGGTTCACTTTTAACTCCTTAAGAATGTCATCTTGCTCCTGTTGTAATTGATTAACACTGTCAATCTTTGAAGGAATTGTAGATCCTTTCAACAACAAGGGTGGGTCATGGCCATAAAGGGCTTTGAAGGGAGTCATTCTAGCGGAAGCATTGTAGTTGGTATTAAACCAAAATTCAGCCCATGGAAGCCATTGTGGCCATTTCTTAGGTTGTGTTCCTGTCATGCAACGAAGATATGTCTTGAGACAGCGGTTGACTACTTCGGTCTAGCCATCAGTTTCGGGATGGTAAGCTCTACTAAACTTTAATTTGGTCCTAGCTTGTCGAAATAATTCCTTCCAAAATTTGCTTAGGAAAAGTTGATCTTTATCTGAAATAATTGTAGAAGGAAAACCGTGAATTTTAACTACTTCTTTCAAAAAAACCTGAGCTACGTCCACTGCAGTAAAATGGTGTGCCATGGAAAAGAAATGGGCATATTTGGTAAGTCGATCAACTACAACAAATATAGTGTCTTTCCCTTGAACTTTAGGTAATCCCCCTATAAAGTCCATTGAAATATCATACCAAACTTGAGTGGGTATAGGGAAAGGTTGTAGTAACCCCGCTGAAGCCAACATGTCTGCTTTATTTCTCTGACATTCTTCACATAGGGTCACAAAGTCCTTAATGTCTTTCTTCATTCCATCCCAATATACCACTCCTGCCACCCTTTTAAATGTTCGGAAAAATCCACTGTGCCCCCCAATGGAGATTCATGCAAATCTTTAATTATAACAGGAATACGTGAGTACGTGCGCGGTAAAACCAGTTTGTCCATATAGAAAAGTTTTCCTTTTACCCATTTGTAACCCTTACGGGATGTTGAATCCACTAACAAGTCTTGAATTATGGAAGTGAGTTTGGAATCTTGTTACATCTCATCTTGCCAATCTTCCCATTCCTCACTTTGGAGTGTAGACAAAGCTAAAAAATATCCTTTTCTCGATAATGCATCTGCCACTAAATTTTCCTTTCCTGCACGATATTGGATCTCAAAATCATATCCAATCAATTTTGAAGCCCATTTAAACTGCTCCTCAGTCAACAATCGTTGGTCAGTAAGAAATTGCAAAGTTTTCTGATCAGTGACTACAATACAGTGTCCTCCCATTAAGTAATGTTTCCACTTATGTATGGCCTGAACTACAGTCATGAGTTCCCATTCATAAACTGATTTATTCTACCCCTTTTTTGATAGTGCTTGACTCCAAAAAGCTAATGGTCTTCCTTCTTGCATTAGGACTGCCCCTAACCCTTTACTAGATGCATCAGTTTCCACAATAAATGGTTTAGTGAAATCTGGAACAACCAATGTAGGAAGTTGAGTGACAGTTGATTTGAGTTGTTCAAAAGCATCTTGAGCCCCTTTATTCCAATGAAACCCATCCTTAGTCAATAATTGTGTTAATGGTTTAGCTATTTTTCCATAGCCCTGAACAAAATGGCGATAATATCCCGTTAAACCCAAAAATCCTCGTAATGCTAATACATCTTTCGGAATAGGCCAACTCTGCATTGCCTCAATCTTCTTGGGGTCTGCTGATACTCCATTTCCAGAAATAATATGGCCTAAATACTCTAGGTTGGATTGACCAAAACTGCATTTTTTTTATTCAACTTCAATTGTTGAATTTTCAATACCTTTAGGACCTCCTCTAAATGTTGCCCATGTAGTTCCACATTAGAACTGTACACTAATATATCGTCGAAGAAAACAAGTACAAATTTCCTCAAATAGGGCTTAGGTATGGTATTCATAAGAGACTGGAAGGTTGCAGGGGCATTAGTCAACCCAAAAGGCATGACCAAGAACTCATAATTGCCCTCATGAGTTATGCAGTCTTCTCCACATCAGATTTGCGCATTAGAATTTGGTGGTACCCTGATTTCAAATCTAACTTCGAAAATATAGTTGCTCCGGCCAACTCATCCAATAATTCCTCAATTACTGGAATTGGAAACTTATTAGGAATTGTTATCTTATTCAAAACTCTATAGTCAACACAAAAACGCCAACCCCCATCTTTCTTCTTAATCAATATTATAGGACTTGAGTAAGGACTAATGCTGGACTTAATGATTCCAGCCTGCAACATTTCTTGCACTAATCTCTCAATCTCATTCTTCTGCTGATGAGAATATTTATATGGTCTAAGATTAGGAATTGAAGCACCTTGTTGTAGGTGAATAGAATGGTCATGGCTTCAACTAGGTGGTAAGCCTTCATATTCTTGAAAAACTTCATCATTGATGGCCAAAACCTTAAGTATTTCTGCAGGAATATCTGGAGTAGTAAGATGTTCCAAATTCTCTTCCCATTTGAGTAAGTAGCAAGAGTCTTCTTCCTTCCATTCATGCCATAAAAATTTCAACGAAGATTGAGACCTGGACAATGTAGGATCTCCGGATATTATTTGTTATGTTTACCAATAGTTAGCCTTAATCTTCCAAAATCAGCTTTAACTTCTCCCAAACTTGATAACCATTGCAATCCCAACACAATATCAGCCCCACTCAAATCAAAAACATAAAATTGATGCTACACTTGATATCCTTGTAAGTCCAGAAGAAATTCGGAGCATCTCCCTTGACAACAAACCTTGTGACCATCTCCTACTTCCACCACAAAAGAGGGTGTATTTTCTCGAAGCAACCCACATCTAGAAATGAGATTAGAAGAAATAAAATTTTGAGAGGCTCCGCAATCCAATAACACGACCACTTTTTCTGACCCAATGTTGTCCCAAATTTTCCACGAATTCTTAGTGGTTAACCCTGCCATCGTACATAAGGATAGCTGCAAAACAGACTCCTGCACACTGTTCGTATTGATCTCTGATTTGGCTGAAGAGGTCTCTAATCCATAAATTTCTTCTTCTGTCAATAACAACATATGAAGTTTTTTATTGCTGCAGACATATTACGGACCATATTTTCATCACAGCGAAAACAAAGGCCTCTCTTGATTTTATCTTGTAATTTTGTCTCGGACAACTTCCTGAAAGGAGCCCCTCTTACACGTGGTCCCCCACTATTACTGCCAGATACTCTAGTAGTATCTGCATTTTTACTTTTTCCTTCATTGACCGATCCTCCTAAACTAGAATTTTCTCTGGTTAAACTTCTAGTGACCGTATAAGGCTTCATAGAACCAGTTGCTGAACGATTCCCATTAGAATTAGAAGAATAAGAAACACCTTTTGATGTCACCAAAATTTTTTCTTCCACTAACCGAGCCTTACACATTAATTTTGTCAGAGTTTGAGGGTCATACAACTTGATCTCAGCTTTGATTTCATCTTTTAACCCATTTAAAAAGATACCCACCAAATAATATTGATGTATTCCTTTTTAAAATCCTGCATACTATTCAAATTTCTCAATGTATTCCTCCACTGTACCTTTTTGAGATAATCCAATCAAGATTTCAAAGGGATTCTTGAGCATATTCGGTTGGAATCGTCGTACCACTGCTACTTTAAATGCTTCCCAAGATGGATGTGGATTACAGGTTTCCCACCATTGAAACTAGTTTAATGCCTTTTCTTCTAATGCTACCATAACCGCTTACATTTTCTCCTCTTCCGAAACAGCCCTTCATCGAAAATAACGTTCTAAACGATTGGTCCATCCATATGCTTTGTCTGCTACAAAAACTGGTATATCTAGCTTCCTCCAACATGAACCAGATAAATTTGATTCCGTAAC